TCTTCATGCACTTTCATTCGAAATGAAGGTCCCCCTAACAATGTTATCTCAGGAGATTTATCGAAACCAACTTTGTCTTCGTATCTACATTGTATTCTAATGTTATTGAAGGGCTGTTCTAAAACATAGCTAGATAAGGATTGCTATACAATATCGGACAGAATAAATTTTGATATAATCTTACCAAATCAGGTGTTTTGGTAATAAAATTGAAGCTTATTGAAGCTCTTCACTCTGTTTTCTCTGGGGCTGGCTTTACTGACTGTAAACAGTTGACTCTCCCCCTTAACGCAGCGATGCTGGTCTCTCACTCTATTTGAAATGTTGACATAACGAGCTCTTGCCTTGTTCTCTTGACTAAGGTCGATTTAGCGTAGGCTGTCTGAGCAACTCCGGGGGTTGAAGCCAATCACTTTTCGTGTTCTGACTCCTTCATCCACACCAAAGTGACTCATTTTCAGCACCGGATTTGATCGATCTGGCGAAAAAAATAAGTAATTGGGACTGCGAGGTCTGGAGACTATCTGAGGAGAGGCCTGCCAATGGCCGAGGAGAGTTGATGCTAATAAGGGCATAGCTGAAAGGAGATATGAAAAATGAATTTGCCTTAAATTCAAATAAAAATGCAACAACAACATGCAGACATTGCGCCGATCGATGTGGACGCCTTTGAATGCTGATTGGGTAAGGTGAGTTCAGCTGTCCAATGAATTTGGGGTAAATCATGCTTAGTCTGAATGCTGAAGTGACCATGAGTTGGGCTGAGTCGGCATAAGCTGTTCACGTCTAGACTAGTCGGCGAGCGTGCGTCTCGTTGACGCCTCGAAGAGTCCGTCAGTCGAGGATTTGAGCCGCGCCGGAGCTGGTGATGAGGCCGAGGTGGGCTCGAGTCTGTACCAACAGTCCGTGGCTTAAGGATGCATGGCACATGGCAGCAGTTCACTGGCGGACGGGCACTTATTCAGTTTGGCAGAAAGAGAAAGCGGTGCATTCTGCCGATGGACAAAAAATGGGTGCTGAAGAGAACATTGTAGGTTAGCGTTTCGGTTGAATTGGCTGCAGAAGAGGCAGATTTCAGAGGGCTTTGCTGCTGAGAGGGAGTCCGAAAAAAGTGTGGCACAAGTCTGCCACCCTACTTTCCTTCGTACATATGTGGAATTCAACTAAAACGTAAAATCTATTATAGATATGAAGAGAAACTGGGTTTCGGTGAATTTAATGAGATACTATTGTTAGGGGGACACTCAGCTCGTATAAAAGTGAATGACGAAGAGATTCGTTAGTAGATCTCGCCAGATGAGGACGGATGAATCTCGCTGTACTGCAGCTGCTTGCTTTTATACGATATTCATTTCGACGCAGTCCTTCGTTTCAGGTAAAAGCGTGCTGAGCTTTCGTCCATCATTTGATGGACATCATCAGAGCTGGGTTTCATTCTTGCAACACGTTAACACTAAGCCAAGAACACTATCCGGTTCTATCTTGCTTCTGTATAGATTCAATTGAGCCAAATGAAAATTTTCGTCAAAATGAACTTCGTATAAAAGCCAAACGGCTGCAGTACAACGAGATTCATCCGCCCTCATCTGATGAGATCGACCGACGAATCACTTCTTCTTCCCTTTTATACGAACTGAAAGTCGATACGAAGAGAAACTTGGTTTCGATGAATCTCCTA